GGTAATTCTCATCAGTGTACCTGACTGAAAACATACAGTAGGGAGAACAGCGGCTGGTCAAATCAAGTTGTCCTCCCTCCATCTCTGAGCAACAGCGCTTGACACCTAGAGAAAAAGAGTTGTTGCTGTGACACAATGTTTGTTTCAGTCAGTGTCAAGCTGTCCACAACAACCCAATGAGGGGCACTCTTCTCCAGAAGAAAATTCATAGGGTTTAAATGCACAAGCACTGCAGGTCATGTAACCCCACCCCTAGTCAAGGGAACATTGGGCCTGGGCCTGGACCTGGACCTGAAGTGAGGAGGGCAGAAGGGAGAAGTGAGGGACAGCATTGTGATAGTCATCTACCGCTTACTCATAAACATCTGTCTCATTAAAGCCGTGGATCAGGCAAAGATATCAGCCTGAAAGGGCACTCCAAAAGCCACTGCTGGTGCACTCAGGTCTTATCCTCAGCAGTTGAGACTTGTATGAACCCCAGCTGAGAAAGTGCAGTTGCTAGTAAGAGAATAGAATTTGAGTGAGAAAGGAGCAATAGAAACATATGGAAGCTTAAAGTTCCTGCAATCCCAAATGCATTTCAGGGTGCCTGCCACCTGGATTCATCTCTGCCTTTCCATTTTTTATGTTGCCCAAATTCTACAAAAGCAGAGGTTTAGACTTAACCTCCCTGCTACCAGGGAGCAGAGCAAATGCATCCTAGTAAACTGCAGTAAAGAAGAGAAAGACAAAGCAGGTGGCCTGTCAGAAAGAGACTGACAGGCCCTGAGCATAGCACAGTCAGTGACATGAGCCCTAGGCTGATGCTATACCAAAAGGAGACACACTGATCTTCACATTGAGGAGTTCAGCCTCAAAGCCAGGTTCTTGCTCCCTCATCATTCATACGTGACACTATGGCTCCTCAAGAGTAGAATGAAATGCCTGGACAACAGACAATATATGCAGGGGAAATAATCTGAAGGTGCTGCGCTTTTCCCAGGAAAAAGCTTTTGCATGTAGCTAGGAACAATTGGAGTTACAAATGGGAGAAATGGAAGTAAACACCATTCAGAAGACAAAGGCTGTGTCTGCCCTCTTAGGGCCACAAGGATGACATGAATGAACTTTGGCAGAGATGGGGAAAACAAGTTTAATTAGCTAAAGTGCTCCACCATGAACCCAGCCAGCAAAGATAGCCAGCAGCAAAGAAAAAGTCTCTGTCTGAGTCAGGGAAGCAGGCAGTGGTGTCTTTTGTTTAATGCTTTGCCACTACTTGTAACTTACCAGGTGCTTTGTACTCTCGAAAGGTGTCATTCACAAGGGGAAGAAAAATGACGATTGGACATCCTGGCAAATCTGAATCATGGAAGAGGTAGCACTCCTTCAGATTTTTCTTATCTTCATCAGTCAAAGAAATTTTTGGGAATGGGATTTTCTGCTCTGAGCAGTATTTACACGCCTTCTCTAGAGACTGGAGGATCACAGAAATGGTCAGCATTGGAATGCAACTTTGCTGTCTAAAGACCCCAATCATCATCTAGTCATCTAGTGTTAAGGTTTAGTGACTCAGATCCATAGGGTGAGTGCTTTCTTATTATGGGTTACTCTACACATAATTACCACACATAGTAACCACAATGCTAATCACAAGCTGTAAACACAATTTCAGAGTTAGAGAATTCATTCAGGACACTGCTTTTTAAAATAAATAAATTGAAGCAATTTGCAGAAGTTTAGGGTAAAGCATGAGTTTTAGGAAACAAAACACCCTGTGTTTAATATATTTACTAGTTAATACACTAACTAGAAAAGAAAGCAATGGAAAGAAAATGCTTAAGGTGTCTTATTATATGCTTGAAAGCCAGGAGATTAGAAAGTTAAATTTGGATGTGCAGGCATTGTGGCACAGTTTTGAGATTGATATTTTGCTGAAAAAGTCTGAAATACTAGGCTATACTGTATCTTTTCCCTGAAATGTTTAATAAAATACTGTGTCATAATATGTACTGTGTTATTGCATCTGCATGATCTAATAGTGGCACTATCAAGCAGGAAAAAAGGTCTGTTAAAGTGCTTAAGATTGCAGCAGCCTTAAAATGTATCTAAACAATGAATGAGGTTGAAATGAAACTCCATTACATATATGTCTCATTCATCATATGGCTTATTAGAACTAGCACATCTGTTCTCATTCACAAAAATTAATTCCAATTAAGCAGGCCAAGATTCTTAATAGTGAGTTTCCACCTAACTTCAGAGTCTGATATATAAAGACTCAAACATCTTTTCTGCAAGCCCTTATAGACAGCTAATTATCGCCATGAAACTGGAGTTTCTGCAGGAAGATTCTCATCATTGACCTTTACTTGTAGCATTTTATTTGTCAGCCCAGAAATGATCTGCCTCTGATATTCACCTAACCCTTTTGATATTCTAACTTAAGTGAGAAGAAATCACTTCCTTGTCTTTATGAATATTCCTATGCAGGGTCTGTAAATCTGCTTGATTCAGCATAAAACAGAAGAGGCTCTTTCCATTGTTCTGGAAGAGACCATGCTGATGTACCCTTGAATAATTCAACATGTTCATAAACCAGCAAGAAAGATTCCAGGAGTAGCAGGAAGAAATAGGAGCACTATTAATCACAACAGTGAAAAACATAGGGGAATGCAGACATAAAAAACTGAACAGCTGAAATAACTAGCAGTTCTAGGTGCTACAGGCTGGACATTTACAAATGAAAGGAGACACAATACATGGTAACAAAGACATCCTCACCGATGTATGTGATCCAGTAGTATAACTTAGATATATGATGACATCCACTCCTCTCTGTGGCCTTAATAGAGGTGCACTGCTGGTATTGATGAAAAATCCAGCATCTATCATGCCCAGGTGATCAGGATTTTGCATCAGCTGGTTGGGTCGTGAGTCTAATACAGTGTCTAAAAAGATCAGCGGATATTTTGACTGGAAGAGGAAGTGCAAGGTGGAATCAATGATCCCAGAGGCCTGGTTTAATTTAGTTGCCACACTACTGGATTGTCAAACAAGCATGAGGGGGACTGCAAAACTCCTAAGCTCCTGTTCTGAAAAATCTTCTATGTTGAGTTTCCAGGCAATATGTTTCAGCAACATCTCATACTCATTAGTGCCAGTAAGCTATGCCTAATAATTAACCTATATTTGCATTGCTTCATTTCAGTCATTGTGGATCTTTTATCCATCACTGATTTGAAGGATGAAATAGTCTCAATCCTTTATATATTCAGATTTATGCCTACCCCCAGTCCCCTCTTCTTTGGGCAACAAAGCCCTATTCCTTTTCAGCTTTCTCTTGTAGGTCATATTTTCTTAGATATTCCAGTTGCATCTGAAGTTAGAGGCATAGTCTTGCCAAATTAAGCTTTCTCCCATGTTCACTGTGCTGTCTGCCATTTTAAATTTGGTTCTGTCAGCTGCAAGCTGCAAGCTTACCCTCTCAGTCTGGACCACAGAGGTCTCAGCTAAAGCAAATAAATACACATATTTTAAAACAGTCTTAAATACACTGAAGTCTTACTGTCTCCTCTGCATTCAGAAAAGAAACGTTCTCTCAGGAGGTTGTTTTCCCATGACAAGCCTGACAGGCTTCTTTACTAAATTCCCCACCCCAAAACTGCCTGAAAGTGGTGCCAGTTAAATATTAGTCCACATCACCTTTCCATCGACAGAAGTGCTCATTCTCCAGGTAGTTGTTATGCAGCTGGTAGCCCTTCAGGAAATTGTGGTGCTGGGCAACAGAGAAGCGATCAGTCAGCGCACCCCGAAGTGCACTGGACAGAGGGCCAGGAGGAGTGTACATGCGAGTCCTCAGTTCATGGGGTCTTGTGGGCAACACTGGGTCTTCATCTAGAGGGGGAGAGAAAAATTTGTGAACTGTTTGTTAACTGATGTTCATTTCTGCCTGCCCTGGTGTGCAGGAGATCTCAGAGGCTGTTCTGGGATGATTCAAGTCAGCGCACCCCGAAGTGCACTGGACAGAGGGCCAGGAGGAGTGTACATGCGAGTCCTCAGTTCATGGGGTCTTGTGGGCAACACTGGGTCTTCATCTAGAGGGGGAGAGAAAAATTTGTGAACTGTTTGTTAACTGATGTTCATTTCTGCCTGCCCTGGTGTGCAGGAGATCTCAGAGGCTGTTCTGGGATGATTCACTAAACAAAACTATTCATGGAAAGGAATGGCTGCTGGACAAAGCTCTGCTGATGGGCTTAAGCTTTGGTCTGAAGACAGTTCATCAGAAGCAGTCTATAGTCCTGGAAACAGGACACCTTAAGGGAACTAAGTATTTTAGAGGATGATCTGTCAGTAGGAAGGTTACATATCCTGACAGGAAGATATCATGAAACAAAGGCAAACATGGGGAAAATAGAGATGACACATATGCTACTGCTCAGTCAGGTGGGCAATGACAGCAACCATGGGGTCTATTGCAACAGTGATAGCTGCTGCCTGATAATCACCCATGGCTACATGAGCATATGATTAATCAGCAGAGTGAGAGCATCCCAGGAAAACCTGGGACATACAGTCATATTCAAAAACTATGGGTAGTTTTCAGGGTGGGTACGTGGCATGTGGGTGAAAAGTAGAAATGGCACAAGGTGTGGCTTCTTGAAATCACAACCTGCTTTGCCGGACCAAGTGGCTGACAGTGTAGCAGGAGAGACTTGGAGGTTTCCGTGATTGCACAGATATAGTTCTTTATTTTTCAGGATGTTGGTAATTATAGTTACCATTATATTAAATGATTTAGCAATAAAATCATGGTTTCTGTATTGCCTCAGAAAATACCCTCTGGGCCTTATGGTCTTTGTGCCAGGACAAATGCAATGCAGTCATTACTGCACTGAGTAATAAAATAAAAACCCAGGTAAAATTGATAAACCAATTGATATTTAGGTTTATTCTCTGTACAGGTAGAAAAAATAACTGTATTCTCTGCTGCTGGTTCTTGGTCTGTATGGCTGAGTGAGAATGGGCAATGCCAAAACACTTCCTGAAAAATGTCTGGCATCTCTAATACTTCCTTGTAAGCAAATAGTAGAGCTTTAATAAGTCTTGTAATTACAGCAGGCTTTCCCTGATTAACCTCTTTCTCTTAGTCTATACAGTGGGAAGGGAAGTCACTATCTCTTAGGATGATCCTATGATGGTAACTTCAACATAGTTGTCAGGATGATGCCAAAAGGAATCCAGAAGATTAAATGACCACAAATGAAAGGCTGAATAATTTCTCACCAACTTCTTCTATTTTGTCTTGTGTCCATCTCTTCCAGAAGTCCTCTGAACTGTGAGACAGTCCCCATATTTGTAACAAGTTCACAGAAAATATACTGCTCCACATACCTGTAAGAGGAATTAGTGTACACAAGGACATATTCTAACAAGAAAATACCTTTTTCCTTCTATTTGACCTCCTGGCTAAATTTTTTAATAGGCTTAACGTAAATATTTCTAAACTTTCATGGTCTTAAATTCCTCTTAACTTTCTGTGCTCTTGGTTCAGGTCAGGCTGCCATCAGCTTTGTGCCTAACCTACTGCATGGCTCTGTCATATGGTAAAGAGAGAAAAGAATGCAAGAGAATTAAAGGAGGAAAGATCTCACTCACTCAAGAAGCAAAACAAGAGTTCAGATAACACAGATATCACAAACATAGCCTTTCCATCTCTGTCTTCCTTACTCCAGCTTCTCTTTTTCTGTACATACTCTGATCAGCTTTCACACACCCTCAATTTTTTCATAGTGGGATGAACTCGCTCTTCAGACATTTGATTTATAAAAGGTCTTGCACCAGAGTGCAAAGGCTCACAGATGCAGTGATTTCCATCTCCACTGTGCAGTCCATCCTGGATTGCCCCTCTCTGCCTCTTCACAGGGGCACTGGTGGCTTTGCTGACAAAACACAGCACCACCTTTTCATCTCCCATTGTAGATTTAAATCTGACAACCACAATTGGACTTAAGTTGAAGTGCTTTCAGAGAGGAACCAGAATAATCAAAGAAGTGGGAAGTATTCCTTACAAGGAAAGAATTAAGGGGCCTCATCTGTTCCAAGTCTAAGACACAGACATCTCATCTACCAAGACAGTGACAAGCAACTGAAAAAAATATACAGGCTTTTTTACTGCATTCTTTTAGACAAACTGCCACTCCCATTTCCTGGCAGGCAATATCATAGCAGTTCTCAGTATGTTAGAACAGAAATATCTACCCTCTGACCAACAGTGTTGCACCCTTCCAAAGTGCCTCTGTGCCAGAACAACACAATACATCACCTTGAAGGTAGCAGATGCGGGATTCGGGGAGCCTTTTTAACAAGCGTCCCATGAAGAACTCACTTCCGAAATGCTCCGTGCGAATGAATGCGCCGTACTTCAGGAGTCCCACCTCGTAGGGGGTGAACTCCACCCACTCTGCAATACAGCCACAATGGGATATTTAGAGAGCTCCCAGACAAGTGTGGAGAGAGGGGTGGATAGAACATACATTGGTCTGGCTTGTGTTTGCTACACTGCTGTTGCAAAGCCTCACGTATAAATGATCACCTCCAGGGCAAGCAGCTGAGCTCAGACATGGTGGTGCTGAGGAGGCAGAAGTAGTTACACTGTTCATGGTGGTTCCACTGGGGGCACAAGGTGCATGCTGGGAGCATGGTAAGGCTCCAGATTCTTACACATCCCATGGCCAGGGTTTTCCAACATGTACAAGGCTTTACTCTGCCCTTCCATATACCATGTCAAGATGACAATAGTTCCACTGTTATAGATACAGTTAATTTCACTTCCCTTAAATAATTTGTTTATTCACAAAGACAGGTACTCAGCTCTTCAGAGAGGCTTTTTTTTTATAAGAAGCAAATTATACTCTTTATGTGTGGTACTAAGGAAGACAAAACTAGTTCTTGACTTTCTTGGTTATCCTCTCCAAGTGAAGTGCAGTTGTCTAATCTAACAGCAGTGAGTGAAAACTGTGATGGAAATGTCATGGAACAAGACCTCATTTTCATTAAAATTTTCATTTTCATAAAAAATTTGATCTGAATTTTTCTCTGCCTCTTCTCCTCCATCTCCTTCTCATCATGAAAAAAAATAACCACAACAATGAGAAAAGCAATAGATTCCATTGGCATTATGTTGAAAGTCTTCCCAAACTTGACTGTAAACATGTGGTCATTCTTCATATTAAAACTATAACTGGACATTGACAAAAAGCAATTCTCAGATAATCCTAATACTTCTTTTTCTAGGTGGATGTGATAATATTTCAAGAATGGCCTTTTTGGCAGAATTTCAGTTGTGTATGTCTAGATAGTGAAATGCTGCTCTCAAAACCCCTTGTATTAAAATTGTAAGGCATGGAGGTGGCAGTTATTTCTCCAAAAAACAACTAACATACCAGGACTGTTTTCTCCAAGTGCTACCAATTAGTGAAGAGTGAATCACAGGAATTCTGCTGTCAATTTTAGCCTTACAGGATCTGAAACATCATGCCTACCTTTGAAATCATTAGTGCTGTAACTGTCCCGTACGCTGACTGACACATAGATGGGCAGTGGGTTCTGACCATCACACAGTGCTTCTTGTTGCTCTGAAAGCTTGTGGGAGTCTTTCTGGTTTTGAAGAAAAGAAGTTATTTGAGAAGAGCTGGAAATGACACATGGTGAATTCAATGGTCCCAGTGCTGGAAGAGCTGTATAGTTCTACCCTCAGTACGCACAACATACCATGGCAGCTCTATCACACAGAGCACTGCAGGCACCCACACCAATGGTGACAGACCAGTCTCCCAGGGTCTGGCCTGACTATGCACAGGTTCACAAAAAGACAAAGAGAGGAGAAACTACTTCTGCATACATGTCTGTACATCCTAGAAAGTATTGCCCTGACAAGTAGGAGGAGGTATAAGCTGCTTCTTAGGGTGAGGAGTGTAGTGAGCCATCCTTGGTCTCCTGAAGCTA